GGCACGTGGACAAAGCTTTTGTAAGTTATCTCAGTTGGTGATCATAACTGTATGCACTGCCATTCCAATATTCATTTGACAGATGGAAAAGCTAAGAGCCCCCTGAGAAGATAAGAGGAGTACGCAAGGAGACGAGCAAAGTCCAGCATCCAGAACTCCAAATCCCCAATTCAGATTTGTTTCCATTCTTCCGTTTAGGGAGATAAAATTAGGAAAAGAAAATAAAAGGAGATGAAAAACAGTGATTTTTAAGGTCTTAATGATTAACACCATATTTCACTTTTAAAAGCAAGAAGTCCACATTGTATCCTCTCTGTTTTAAAACCTTCAATGAGTTCCCTTTGCCTGTTGCCAAGTTCAAAGTTAGAAGGTATTTATCTCATCTCCTTCATTCCTCACATCAACCCAAAACTCCAACAAAACAAAACTGCTTGAAAATGTGCACATATACCGTATCTTTTTGTATCTCTGTGCCTCTGCCTACAATTTCTTCTCCACACATTCTTAACCCCCTTTCAATATCTATTATGTTGTTACTTCTATTATGCATTTAATTGATTTATCAAATGTCTACACTGTGTTTACTATGTGCTAGGCATTGTTGGAAGTGCTTCATAATATTAACTGATAATCCCCATAATAATCCCAGAGGATAAGTAATAGTATCCCAGTTTACAGATGACAAACTGACATATAAAAACTGAGGAATAGAGCCAGGATTCCAGAAAGAGGATTCTGGTTTCAAACTGGGTACTCTTATCCACTACACTATGTCACATATGCACTTGGAATTGCAAAATCGAAAAACATATCACATTTTGCCAATTCTGAAGCCTCAATGGCACTCTATCAAAGGCCTCTGGGTTGTAGAGTTCATTACCTTGTAAGTGTACCATCAACTGGAGTCTAGCTCCCATCTTTTTAGACCCGGAAACCTGATATTTTTCAGTAATCACACCAAGAACAGACCCTTGTCTGGGAGGTGGACTCAGTGACTTGACCCATGAGATTAATGTCTCAAAGTAAAATGCCAGTTTGTTAAATTACAACTAAAAATAGAACTGTCTATCACATGGACCGGAATACTCATGTCAGCATGACCAGCACACAGCGCAGTCATGAAAAGCCAGATCACTCTTGGCAAGTTGTTTGGTCAACATGGCATCAGAATCAGGGTAATTCCTGGGAGGAACGGAACATTCATTGGCAGCAGCTTGGTTAGTGTGAGGCATCCACATCATGATGGCAGCAGCCTTGCCAATGGGACATGCAGGATTTCAAGTTTATGGGTCCTTTCCCTGGGACATTGCTAAGCTGGGCACCAACAACCATGTATCTGGCATTCTCCTCTTTTCTATGATTCTAATGCCTGGCCAGTTCTTTCTTTTCTTGGCCACATTTTCTTGTTAATTCACATTAATATAGTCAATCTGGTTATGGTCAAGTGTTTAAGCCTAGGACCTTTCTATCTCTTTAAGAGAGTCTTTGTGTAATTGTATTTTCAGATGACATTTACTTTTTGATAACATTCTCAGACCTAGCACATGCTATTTAGCATTCCTGTCACTAAATTATAATTGAATGATTTTCTTAATAGCAAAAACCATGTCATATTCGTTCCCAGAAGTAACTGCATTGCCCAGCACATAACAAGAGCGCAGTGGACATTTGTCGGACAAACAAGTGAATTAGGAGGCAGTAAAGCATCATGGTTATAGGTGTAAGTTCTGAAGCCAGACGGCCTGGTATCAAATCTCACCTCTATTACTTAGTAGTTGTGCAATTTTGGCAAGTTAGTTAACCTCCCTAAGTTTCAGTTTTCTCATTTATAAAATGGGTAAAATGATAGTACCCTGACTTCCAGGGTATCTGAGACGATTAAATAAATTAATACAATATAACAAACTTAGAAATATACTGAAAACTCCATAACTATTAGTTATTAGTATAATCATTCTCTCAGAATTTTATATTATTCTAGAGACCCAGTCCTCGGATTCGTGCACTAGTGGGGGGCGTGGCCTGCGGGGATGGCCTGCTGCGGGAGCACCGCTCATCCTGGTCAGCTGAGTGGCTGTGGACCCGCCCTCTGAGCGGCTGCTTAGCTGAGTGGCTGTGGACCCGCCCTCTGAGTGGCTGCTGAGTGAGGAAATTAGTCTGAGCTGATATTTTGGGGTAATGTCTTGGGTAAAGGTGTGTTCTGTGTCCTGGAGGAACCTGGCGGAGAGCTTTGCACCCCAAAGTCACTTGGTGAATGTCCTTGATGTGTGATGCCAGGTCAGAGTCACCATTGGGGATGTTCAGGGCAGCCTCCCCAGGAGATCCACAGTCACATCCCCTCTTGCTATCAGCCTATGCCAGCTCCCCACGATCTTTCTAGAACACACCTTAGAGGGCCTGCATCAGCTGGTGGGGTCAGGCCAGAGTCTGGATTGTCTCAGGTATTTAATAGGTGCAGAGACTCAGCCTCACCCTGGGCCTGCTGGCAGCTGTTCAGTCACTGGGCTTTTATATAGAGAGATTTTTGTGTTTTTTTAAGTGTGACTTTTTTTTCAATCTTTAATTTCTTTATTGATTAAGGTATTACATATGTGACCTCATTCTCCCCATAAACCACCCCCCCTCTCATGCCCTCACCCTCCTGTTGTCTGTGTCCATTGGTTAGACTTATATGCATGCATACAAGTCCTTTGGTTGATCTCTCCTCCTTACCCCCACCCTCCACTACTTTCCCTATGAGGTTTGACAGTCTTATCGTTGCTTCTCTGTCTCTAAGTGTGACTTTTTTAATGAACTTATTGGGTTTATATAGGTTTCAGATGTACATTTCTATAATACATCATTTGTATATTGTATTGTGTGTTCACCACCCCAGGTCAAGTCTCCTTCTATCACCATTTATCCCTCCATTACCCTCTTCTATCTCCCCCACTCCCCTTTCTCTCTGGTAATCACCATACTGTTGTCTGTGTCTATGAATTTTTTTCTTAATCCCTTCTCCTTTTTCACCAATCTACATCCCCACCAGCAGTGTATGACGGTTCCCTTTTCCCCACACTCTGGCCACCACTTGTTTGTTGATTTATTGATGATAGCCATTCTGACAGGTGTGAGATGATATCTCATTGTAGTTTTAATTTTTATCAGTCTAATGATTAGTGACTTTGAGCATTTTTTTCCTATGACTATTGGCCATCTATACGTCCTCACTGGAGATATGTCTATTCAGGTCCTTTGCCCATTTTTAAATTGGATTGTTTGTTTTTTTGGTGTTGTGTTGTATGAGTTTTTTTATAAATTTTGAATATTAACCACTTGTCAGATGTATCATTGGTTACTGTGTTCTCCAATTCAGTGGGTTGTCTTTTCATTTTATTGATGGTTTCCTTTGCTATGCAAAAACTTTTTAGTTTGATGTAGTCCCATTTGTTTATTTTTTCTTTTGTTTCCCTTGCTCCATGAGATATATCAGAAAAAATCTTGCTATGAGAAATGTCCAGGATTTTATTGCCTATGCTTTCTTCTAGGATTTTTATGGTTTCAAGTCTAAAATTTAAGTCATTGTGACTTATTTTGAAAAGAGCAGAGAACTGCTGCTCTTGTGTCATCACTGAATGCTTAATCAAAAATTGATTGTTTTTGTTCACAAGAGTTCAGTAATATGAAAACTCCCATGTATTGCTGATGGGAGTATGTAATGGCACAAAGTTTATGGAATGTAATTTATCAAGAGCTTATAAAAGTTCATTCCCTTTAGTCCAGTAATTCTTCTAGAAATGTATCTACCCTAACGACATAGTCAGAAATTTAGGTAAAGCATATGCATGGATATGGCTCATTACACTCTCATTTATCAAATCCCAAATTGGACATTACTTAATAGAAGAATGATTATACAAATTATATCATTTGATGGAATATTATGTAGCTCTCAAAATGTTGTCAGTTTCTGGGAAAATACCTTCAAAAATTTATAAGTGGAAAAACAAGCTGCAAAATTATATAAGTGGTGTGATTTTTTTCCTCAGTGGAAAGAAATTAATAAATCAAAATAATAGTGATTATCTTTAGATGAGGCAACTATGAGAGATTTTTTTTTTACTTTTAGGCAATCTTTCTTTCCTAAAATCTCTGCAATGAACATGTATTTTTAAAAAATAATTCTTTAACAATTATGACTTTTTATATCCATTTCATAATTTATAAAACATGTTAAACAGTAAGTGCAAATTTTATCATATTCACAATTTTAAGTTTTGTTCTGTGAAATATCTCTAGTTTCATACCAAATAATTAGGGGATGGGATTCATTTAATATTAATACTTTTCAGAAAACCTTGAATTTATATTTATTTGGTTAAATAAGAACTAAGTATAAGTACTTATTTTAACAACCAAATGCTTAGTTTTAATTCTTACATGTACAACTTCGTTAGATCTGCTCAATTTAGTATTTGAGTGTAACTCCACTAAGAATGTACTCAGAAGAAAAGAGAGGCCTTTATATGAATATTAAGAGAGAATTCTTTTTATAAGGAAACTAGAAGCCCAGTGCACAAAAATTCGTGCACTCGGGGTGGGGGAGTCCCTCAGCCCAGCCTGCACCCTCTTGCAGTTCGGGACCCCTCGGGGGATGTCCACCTGCTGGCTTAGGCCCGCTCCCCGGGGGGGATCAGGACTAAGTTGGCAGTCAGACATCCCTCTGGCAGCCTGGGAACCCTTGGGGAATGTCCGACTGGCGGCTTAGGCCCACTCCCCCTGGGGACTGTTCCCATGTATTGCTGATGGGAGTATGTAATGGCACAAAGTTTATGGAATGCATTGAGTGTCTGGCTCCTGGTGGTCAGTGCACATCATAGCAACTGGTCATTCCCGGTCCTTCCCAGTCATTCCACTGTTAGGGTCAATTTGCATATTACCCTTTTATTATATAGTATAGTTCAAATATTGAGCCTTTTATAGGTAGTAATAAGGTGTTTGTTTTTCTTTTTGTCTCCTAGGAGCTGTGAGGGAAGAAATATTCGATATAGGACTTGCAGTAACGTGGTATGTATTGAGATTATATGATTGTGATCATGTATTTTTTAAGCACTGCATACTGCTAAGCAATTTTATGTATCCTGAGCAGAGATCAATCAATTAGCACTTCACTGAAAGTGATTTGTCTCACACCACATGGATTATGCAGCATTGAAAAATAAGTATTTTTAATGTTCCTCAATATAAACTTTTACAAGTGTGGCCATATTGAAACTTACTAGGCTATTTCATAACCAGAGGTCTCTGCTTTCTGACTTTTTATATCTAGGTTTCAAGATAACAAATAAAAGGAATGACAAAAGGGAAACCACTTGGGGTGTCATGAAATAAGTATTAATCAACTCAGGTTTAATAAATTCATTTCATTCCTTCATTCAACAAATACTATTCAATGCCATCAATGTGAGGCACTACACTAGTACAAGGATAAATAACATGGTCACTATCTTAAAACATCTGTTGATATAGTAAGAGATGTAATGAAGGAAGACAAATCAAAATATGACAAATGCTGGGAAGAAGTTCTTTGTGGGTTAAAAACAGAGAGAAATATGAAGGGTCTTCAAGGAAAAGGTTATTTGAGGTAGGGCTAAGAGGGCTGGGAGGGCTGTGACTTGCCCAAATTGTGTGGAGGAGACATAATGGGGAATTTTGGAAGCAGGAATATCTAAGATGGTAGATTGTGGGTAGATTGTGTTTAGCAGTATGGAAGAGAAGAACTGAAAGATATTTTGAGGTTACACCATGAACAGGTTTTAATGTTACACCTCCAAGTTTATAATAGTTCAAGGAATAATGGAGGGGAGGGGGTGGGGGGAGGATGTCATCACTAGAGGTTTTGGAACATGAGTATAATATTATAGTTTTACTTTAGGAAGTTTAATTGTGTAGTAATACAAGGGATGCACTGGAAGGTGAAATAGTTGGAGAGCGAGACGTAATGAAAGTTTAACCAGGAAGATATATATACAAAAGAGGTAAAAATTGAGGTCATTCTATAAGACGTATACAATTAAAATCAGAGTGATGCATTGAAGTGGGAATAAAGAAAACAGACATGTGCATATTTAGAGCTCTTGCACTTGCTGATCCCACTGTTAGAGAAGCTTTTTCTTCAGCATTTGCATGACGGTCATTCTCCTTATTCTAGTCTCATCTCAAACGCCACTTCCTCAAAGAGGTTTCCTGGACCATTTTATCTAATTTGGTTGTTCCACTGCCCAAATTCATCCCTCACAATAGTCTATCAATCACATTTTACTTTTTTAAATATATTTTTACTAGAGGCCCTGTGCATGGATTTGTGCACTGATGGGGTCCCTCAGCCAGGCCTGTGGGGATTGGACTGAAACCAGCTCTCCAACATCCCCCGAGAAGTCCCAGATTGCGAGAGGGCGGTTCTCGGGTGACACACCCCAGAATTGGGCTCCCTCCTCTCTGAGAGAAATATGAAGGGTCTTCAAGGAAAAGGTTATTTGAGGTAGGGCTAAGAGGGCTGGGAGGGCTGTGACTTGCCCAAATTGTGTGGAGGAAACATAATGGGGAATTTTGGAAGCAGGAATATCTAAGATGGTAGATTGTGGGTAGATTGTGTTTAGCAGTATGGAAGAGAAGAACTGAAAGATATTTTGAGGTTACACCATGAACAGGTTTTAATGTTACACCTCCAAGTTTATAATAGTTCAAGGAATAATGAGGGGGGCAGAGGGTGGGACGTCATCACTAGAGGTTTTGGAACAAGAGTATAATATTATAGTTTTACTTTAGGAAGTTTAATTGTGTAGTAATACAAGGGATGCACTGGAAGGTGAAATAGTTGGAGAGCGAGACGTAATGAAAGTTTAACCAGGAAGATATATATACAAAAGAGGTAAAAATTGAGGTCATTCTATAAGACGTATACAATTAAAATCAGAGTGATGCACTCCTGTATCCCCAATGCCTAGAACTTATGACTTACATATTATAACCATACAATAGATATTTGCCAAATGCAAAAGGGCTTTTGGAATAGTGGGAAATGTCATTATCAAAAGTAAGAAAGTTGGGAGGAGATTTGGGAAAAGACAATAATAAATTTGATTTAGGGGCACCATTGAGTTGGACATAAAGGCTAGACTTGTACATGGTATGTCCAACGAGGCAGTGTGGGTTTGATGTAAGGAAAGAGATTGTGACTCAAACCATAGAAACATAAGGTAAGAAATACGGAATTTGAAAATTTGGTAGCAGATTGTTTGGTAGAGTATACAGAATGATGAGAGAAGAGAATCTCAGATCTTTGGTGAATATCTGTATTCAGGTAGAAAGAGAATATAGTGCCAGGTAAGCTATCAAAGTCACCATGAGAGAAGTAAAAGAAGAAATAAGAGAGAATTCCTGAAGGTGTTCAGTAGGATAAGTGTTGCCAAGAAGTTGAAATATGCAAAAAGGCCAACGGGGGAGTAATTTCTATCGTGTATTAGGAAATCAAGATTGCAGGGGATTAGAGAAATATTTTCATAAGGAAATGGAGTCTGTGGGTATAAGTTATTCTTATAAAATGTTAATAGAGAAATCTCAAGTGTCTGCTCCCTGGTGGTCAGTGTGCATCATAGCTATCAGTCAAAACGTCTGCCCCCTGGTGGTCATTGCGTGCGATAGCTACATCATTTGCAGAGTCACAAAAGGGTGGGTGGGTTGTTTGTTTGCAATGACAAACTCTTGAAAGGTGAGTTGGAAACATCAATGATGAGAGAGAATCATTGATTGTCTGCCTCCTGCACGCCACCCTACTGGGGATCAAGCCCGCAACCCCAGCATGCATCCTTAACCGGAATTGAATCTGGGACCCTTCAGTCCAAGACTGACGCTCTATCCACTGAGCCAAACTGGTTAGGGCACATTTTACTTTTTTTTATAGCATTTGCCTCTACCAAATTTATTTTATTTAATTACCTGTTTGTTTTCTGTTTTCACAGTATAGAAAGTAAATTTCACAAGGACAGGAGCCTCATTCATCCTGAAGGGTCGCGACCCACAGGTTGAGAACCGCTGATCTAGAGGGAGAGGCAATATGTGGAGGTCAGGGTATATTTGATGCCAAAGGAGATAGTGGATGAAAGAAGAAGAGGAATCTTGATAAAGGAAAAGGACATATACTTTATTCTTAGGAAACAGGCACAAACGGAGAAAGAAAGGATGAAGGTATAGAAAGATTTCTGAAAAAGAGAACAGTTGAGGCTGTGCATGAAGAGCAGGCTCCAGCGTCTCTGCAGAGAAGTGTTCTGATTCATCTGCTCAAAGTGAAGGAGGCGATCTGGATTTGGGAACGTGAGCATAAAGGCCTGGTAGAGCCTTTATGCTGAGGAAGTTGAGTGGAAGCCAGCAAAGCCAAATAAAAGGATTTTTGAGTAGCAAAGAGGGCTTGACTGAGGTTAGAGAGCTTGATCTGACAGAGGTCATGGTCAGCAGGGGTAAGGACATAGTCTGACAGTTTCTGCACTGAAGCAGTAATAGAGAAAATGGACATTGGAAGTGACCTGTGTTCAGAATACAGATGAGTTGAGAGAGACTAAAGTGAATGGAAAATATAAGTTTTTAAATGCCTGAACAGATAGAGTATAAGGAACTGGAAAGCATGATCATTGGAAGTAAGAGTAATTGTTCAATTGAAAATTTTGCCTAGTTCATTTCTCTATCTTCATTAAGAACAGAAGATGCATGAGTTATATCATTGCCTTTAAAACACACACACACACATACACACACACACACACTTGTGTGCACACACAACTGCTATAGGTGTGTGTGTGTTTTAATTTTTAGAAAATGGTATTGACTAAATGAGTTTTAGAAATTTTATGAAATTTTTTTCAATGGAAATGTACTTTAGATTATTGGTTTTCTTTACTATCCCTTTTATTGTAGTGATATCTTATATATCAGTTTTTAAAAAACAAAAACAAAACATGCACCATGATCTTATGAAAGAATCTTCTTACCTTACCCTTTTCTTTCTAATTTTTAGAATAGTGGAAAGGGTCCAAACTATCCCAAGTAGATGAATGCCTAAAGCAACATGAGCAGATGTCTGCTTGCCCTTTCCTTAAAGCTTTTCAGAAACAGCCCACGATTTCCTTGCTGTCATTATGAGCATTTTCACGGACACATGCGGTCTAAGACTCTGACCCAATATGACTTAAAGCCCAGAGCATTGCACGAGCCAGCTCTTTATAGCTTGTAGAATCAAACTGACACTGAGTTTTTATGAGAACCTAGAGTATTCAAATAATTTGAAGTATGTTTTTTTTTCTTCTTCTGGCTTTTGGCCATGACAGAAGCAACATTGCCAAAAAAACAAATAAAAACATCTCATAAGAAAGGACCTTTTCATAATCACATTCCAATTTTTTTCAAACTAAGAAGTTCAGAAATATTCTGTTAAGTTCAGTTAAATATTCTCCTTTCAGATACTTGTTTTGGAAAAACTGGAGGGTCCTTATTAGCTAAATCTGCAGGGTCACTCCTTAAACCCTGGACAGCTTCCTGGGCTCTTCTGAACCATGTCTCTTCCAGAGATGCACACTTTTTCTATTCTTTGTAGAGTTGCTAAGATAACATTTCTTTGGGTTTTTGTTCCCCAAGGCCAAGGAAGAGAAAACATCTCCTCAGTTTCCCAATTTTTCTGAAAAAATTAGTTCATAAATTTTATGAACTAATTTTATGAACTTGCCTGAAAAAATTAGTTCATAAATTTTAAAGTTTTATTGTTAATCACTCTACAGAGTGCATCAATATCAATAGAAAGTTCAAGTTCCCATAATGTTTGCATACATCTCATAGCCAGGATACCTTCTTACACTATTTCTAGAGGGTCCAAGTAGACTATTTTCATTCTTAAGGACATAGTTCATCTAACCTTTCCCTATTCACACTTTTTGCTTTTCTTCCAGGGAAGTTGCAAGGCTCTCTTTTTGGAAGGAAAGACTAAGGGTACTGTTAGGAGACATAGTAGGTATGAACTG